TTCTTCTGGGTAGCGCGCGTCGGGGTTCGAGGGCATCACATGCCTGTTGGTGTTGTCGGGTACTAGTCGCGTCGGACGTGGGTTGGGAGCTGGTGAGTCACCGAGAACTTATGCGGGTGGCCGAGAGCTGCTCGTGTTTGTTGTCGGTGGTGAATATATTTGCTGGGAACTTGAAATATTATACCTTATAATCTTCTGATATATTACATCTACACCTACATTGAGTAGTCTTGGTGGTGCCACTAAATGAAATTCCTGAAACCTCTAAATAAATTTTCACTCGATTTTTCTCCTTTCTTGAAGACGAAAAACAAATGGCATGTGTGTATTGAGGAGGTGTTGGGACTTGATGTATTGTAGACTACATAAGGGACCCTAATGAGGTGCTAAATATGGTCTTTTCCAAATAGGATTAGGAATCCTGATGTCTTCGAACTCTTTAACCTTCTAGAAGTCCTAATGCCTTTTAACTTAATTACCTTCTAGAAGACTTTTATATCTTCTAACATGGTAACATTCTAGAAGAAACCAAGTGTAGTTCCCCATTTCTTTATTAAACTATGATATTTTTTTGCATTCATTTTTGTTAGCTCGACTATTTCTTTTAATCAAAAATAAAATCAAGTAGATGTCCTTGTCTATTTAATTTTCCTAATTGAAATTTATGTAGATGTCTCCATAAAAATAAATAATATCTAATTAATTAACTAATTAATTAAGCTAAATCCTAAAAAAGGAGAAAGAATATATACCTAAGTAATATATATATATATTGTTTAGAGGTATGCTGTAAAAAACTTGTTTTGCAAATCTATCAATTCCATTTTTTGATATGAAAATCATGTTTAAGTCAAAATACATATGCTTGTAGTTTATTTATGTAACACCCCAAACTCATGTTGTTCATTTTATGCTCAGTATTATTTTCATGGATATTATTTATGTTTAATTTAATGATTTATAATGTTATTTTTATTTTATTGTAAGCTCGATTTTTATGTGATAATTAAGTGAGTGTCCACACTCATTTATTTATCAAGTTAATGATTAAAAAGGGAATTATTTAGATGTCCTCATCTATTTAATTTTCCTAAGTATAAATGCAATAATAATAATATTAATATAATTTTAATTATGAAATGGCTTAATTTATTTATTATAATTTTAATGTATTAATGAAGATAATAATTATTAAGATGATAAATTGAGCTCAAATAACAGTCCAATTTTCCCAAGCCAGATAAAAAGCTCAAGACTTACGATATTTAATCCCTCATCCAAACAATAAGAATCCCAGATTTTATCACTTTCCTAGTCAAATTGTTCAAGAGCTCCTTTCAAACACGATATCAAATCCCAACTTTACAAAACTCTCCCCTTTATCTCTCACCTCTCACGGCACTTTTTTTTATCTCCCACGCTGACCCCTCCCTCTTTTCTCCCTCTCTCGCTTCTCATCATCGATCACCATTCCCGCCATCGTCCCAGCGGCCGTCCACCATCATCATCATCGCCGAGCTTCATCACCATCATCATCCACGAAGAGCTCCGCCACCATAGTCATCATCATCGGCCACCTTCATCGCACAACCCTCCACCGATCATCATCATCGAAGCTCCATCGATCACCATCACCATCTTCACCGTCCGCGCAGGCCCACCATCATCGCCCCTCAGCCAAGGTCAGCCATCAACCTCCACGTCGCGCGCAGGCCCCTTATCCCGATCAGCAGCCGCAGTCCATCGTCTAGCCACGAGCCCTCTTTCGAACCTAACCGTTGTTCTTTTTTTTCTCGAGCGGTAAAATCCTATTGCTTACCCTCTTGGACTGTTATTATTTCGAATGCGATTAATTACGTATGAATTGTTAATGTGTTTAAAGTTGAATTTTTTACGCTTGCTTAAGGTCCGAATAAATAATTGTTGAGTTAATGATGAATTGCAATTGATCGGAGCCTTGTCGGGCTTCCGAAAGAATTGATTGAATGATATGTGAATAGGGTTAATTGTTGTCAATTTATGTGTTCATAATCTTGTCTTATTTTGTGATAAACTTGCCTAGAATCATCGATTATATGTTGCTTTCGAGATGATATGAAGTTCGGATAATTAGGTTATGATTTCATGTGTAATTGTCATTTTCGTGCTGTCTGTTCGGAAGCAGTTTAGGCCCCTGATATGTTATTTTCAGTTTTCGAGTTCTGTATATGATATGTAGTTCGTTAAGTTGTGTTTACGTGAGCTTTGGAATCGTGCAATTTCGACTTAAAACGAATAAGTTAGGATTTTTACAAAATTGACTACGCGAGCAGTTTTTCTTAAATCCGGCTGCAGTTAGGTTTGGATGTTTTGTGTGTTTATGATATGATAATGTGCTCAAATGAACCTGAAGTC